GCAAGTCATAAATACACAAATTCAGTTTAAGCTACATAAAGAAATATATTATGTCATTTCTAAAGATGTAAAAATCCAATATATTTGGAAGTGGAATTTGACCCCAAATCTATGACAGAATTGTGTTCAAAATAGCCATTTATACTGAAATTCCAATAAAACCTAAAGTCTAAACAATTAAAGTAAAAAAAGTTTTTCATCTTGGTTCCAAGACTTTGGAAAAGAATAGCAATTCTGGTCAATTATACTTCAGGGGCAATTTGGGGGGGGGGGGGAGGGGGTCGTGTTATCCTAATTTGATGCATTTACCAAACAAAAAGCAAACACAAATTTTGATTCAGCCACCAAAATTGCTAGGAATACTTTGCACCTTTTTATAAAAATGGTATAACAACTCCCTGGGATCATTTGTTAGAGGGGTTTTTTGTTTTGTTTTGGTTTATTGGTACCGGTGTATATACTGATGAAATGTATTAATTCTTTAAAAAAAACAAAACAGGCCAGCCTATTTCTTCTGTACCAAGGGAGAGTTAGAGTGAACTACAGGTTTTTTGTGCTAGATTAATTGTGATGTTAAATATCTACCTAAGAATTATATGATGCTGAATCAAACCCTGTGCTCTTGCACTTGCATAATATTCTGTAATAAATATGTGCTCAGAAACAATAGGTTTGCTGTGGATAGACACTCCTGTGTTAGCACTCCTGCAAATCGTGGATGTTTGGGAACAAGTGTCATCTAACCTGTTCAGTGGTCTAGTATGGGTAATGGTATTAGGTATGGAGCACACCTGCTGAAGGTTATGCAGCTATACTGCACTGTAATGGCTGACCCATAGAAAAAGGGGGCTGGTCTAAGCTCTTTAGTGCTTGGCCCAGGATCCAAAGCACATAAGGCAATACTGACTTTTCTCTTGACTTCAGTAGACTTTGGATCATGCCATATTAGGGGTTGGTGGATTTTCCGGAGGTAATAGCTGAGAACTACATGATGACCACAGAGTCAGTTATTCGAACCATAGTTCCATTACAATTGAGAACATGTACAGTTCAACTGTCTCGAACATGTAAAATATTATTAGAAGAATGTCTCTAAAGAGAGTTACTAGTCTCCAAGAGTATGTTAGTCAGAGATGTAAATCTTATTGCAAACAAGCAAAAGCCAGTACTTAATACAGCTTTTTTTTTTGGCTTCAGGTTTTCTGTCCTCGGGGAGCTGAAGTTTCACTTGATTTGACCAGCTTAGTACACTTGTTTGTGGATTTACTGGGTGTTTCTTATGAACAGGGATCCTGGTTTTCTCTGATTTTAAAAAAATCCCTAATTTTTGGTTAAAAAAAAGTAACCCCGAGTCCACATTTTTCCATGATTTAAATGAAACACCACTAATATATAGATATTTAGGTGTTTAATTTAAATCATGGAAAAATGTGGATTTGGGGTTACTTTTTTTAAAAACTAAAATTAGGGATTTGTTTAAATCAGAGAAAACCAGGATCCCTGCTTATGAAGTATCATGTTTTAAAACTAAATAACATGGGACGCATCCTCTAGTAGGGAAGTTCCCACGCTCTATACTGTAGGCCCTTGGTGGCTTGTAGAACACTTTCTGGTTGTGCATATAGGGCTAGCTGGTCACACTGTGCTGTGTCTCCTTGCTTTAAGCCACTTGATTCCATTAAAGGAAGCTAGGAATATATTTCATATACTTCTAATGGTACAGTCTCTCAATGCAGTTACCATAACTGACCAGAGCCTATCATGGACAAAATGTACCTTGGGCAGTCATCTCACCCTCTCTTAAACTCCCTTCCTCCCTGTACCTTCTGGCTTGCAGGTGGAGGGACAGCAGCAAGCAGCAGCCAGTGCAAGGTGTTCTGGAAATCATAGTTTTCTAGAGCAGTACCGGGGGAAACTTTCACTCCAGTTTGGCCACTGAAGTGCATGTCCAGAGGGCAAAAAAAAGCTGATTTCAGTGGCAAAAAAAGGAGCTCAGTTCTTCCCCCAACAGCGCTGAACTCCACTGCTGCCCTGCCAAACTGTGATTCCCAGAATGCCATGTGCTTCATTACACACATCGTCTGTGCCGGCTCCCTCCTGCAGCCCCCTGTAAAGGTAACGGTGAAGCAGGCAGTAGCCCTTGGGGGAAAGCGGAGTCCCTCTGCCCCATCCTTCTGGCTTCCCTTTAGGCAGCACCCAGGTCATGTGCTCCTTTGCCCACTCCACGTGACACTACTGTAACTAACACAAAGGTGGCATGCAGTCATGAATAGGGAAGGAAGTGGTCTGTGTAACTGTGAATAGGAGGGGAGGTTCTTCATCCAGCCATTGCTCTGTTCAAAAGAGATGGTCCAGCCCCTAAACACATTTTAACCCCCTGCTTAAAACTACATGCAGTCACCCAAGTCAGTTTTCACTGCTAGATCTTTGAACACTGAAATGATTTAAAAAAAAAAGAGGAAAAATTTAGTCTAACTCAGCTGGATTAGTTACCTACACTAAAATCAATTCATAGGCTCAGCTTTGCTCCCTATTTCACTAGTGTTTATCAGCCATCATACAGTGTTAGGTATTTCTTGGCAATGACAAAGAAAAGTTTTCATATCCTACCCTACATTACTTGTCCTACACTTCCCTAATTATAATAAAGACCTGACATGCCTAAAACCTACACTTACGGTAGCCTGTTTAAGATGATAATATGCTACGCTCTTGCAGTCGCTGCTCACCCATAGTTCTGCCCCCAAAAAGGGAGGGAGGGCATTATACTTTTTCTGAGACACTGTTTCTCTCTTGGTGATCATTGTGCTCTGTACTTTGACCATGCCTTCTTTCTTCCTCCTCCTCCTCCTCACTTTTCACACTCTTTCCATTCAGTTGCTTATCTCTATTTTGCTCTCGTTTTGGTGCCTTCTTTTTAACTTTTTGTTCCTACAAGAGAAGAGAGAGGAATCATTAACAATTCATCTAAAGTAAACAAAATGTCAGCATTTGAAGTTTCTTGTATTTTCTAATTATTTTAGAAGCAATTCCTCAGCCAAGCACAACCCACAGTTAGAACAAGATATAGCAGAGTTCTCAAGGGTCAGAGAAAGCAAAATCCTTTTCTGGAGCAAGGAAAGGGAACTTGTTCTGCCCTTTGGGATTGGATTGGCTCTCATGAATGGAGTAAAGTCCACCAATGGATGATACAGCCCACTGATGAGGGAATTTGCTTGGATCAGTAAAAATGGCCCTAAAAAAAGGGGGAGGAAGCCTCCCCCTTGCCCAACACATACCATCTTTGGTGACATTGATATGCTTCAACAGAAAGATCTGAGCACTCATAAAATGGGAAGGAGAGGAAGGTCTGACCAAAAAAAAGCAAAAATTATCCTTTATTAAAGATGGATCTAGGTTCAACAGCTGTATGTGCATTGTGGGATGGGCTGATAGCACAACTAATTATAAATGCTGCCTGATGCTTCCCAAGCCCACTTTTTGTTATTGCTTATAATTTTACCAGGCTTTGACTATTTGGACTGAAATAGTTTTTGCTGGGAATGTACCAGTTAGGCTGACTATCTGGAAATCCCAGAAATCCAGGACATCATCTGGGAAATTTGGGACACTGCCCTGCCCCCACCGCTGCACTCTCACAAGTCATAGAATCATAGGAAATTAGGCTTGGAAGGGATCTCAGGACAATATTTAATCCAACATCCTGCTTAAACAGGACCACCCCCAGCTATATCATTCCAGGCGAGGCTTTGTTTAGCTGGGTCTTACCAACCTCCAAGGATGGAGATTCCACAACCTCCCTGGATAACCTGTCCTAGTGTTTTACTATACTCCACATGTGAAAGCTTTTCCTAATATCTAGCCTAAACTTCCCTTGCTGCAATTTGAGACCATTGCTCCTTGTTCTGTCTTCTGTGTTTGACAACAGTTTAGCTCCATCCACTTTCGGCATGGGCAACTGGTACCTCCTGAGTTGGGGAGGCACTTGCTGACTGGGGGGGAGGGTTCTCCCCATGGCTGATCATGCCTAGTGGGGAGGAGGGTTAGGGACGATTGCACCCACCCGGAAGTGCCAGCGGTGCTTCTCCTGGTATCCCCACTCCTCAGCCAGTGCTCTCAGGGGGGGCACCAGCTCTCCCGCCTGCCCCCCTGCCCATCACCTAAGTGGAAACGCTGGCTGTGCGGGGGTGCACATGCACTCCCGTGTACCCCCTACACACCTCCTATGCATCACCACTGTCTTTCAGACCTCACTTCAGGTAGCTGAAAGCTGCTATTAAATCCCCCCTCAGTCTTCTCTTCTCTAGAATAAATAAGCCCAGTTCCCTCTGTCTCCTCATAAGTCATATTCCCAGCCCCCTCACTATTTTTGTTGCCCTCCTCTGGGCTCTCTCCAATTTGTCCATATTCTTTCTGTAGTGGGGGTGCCCAAAACTGTACAGAGTAGTCCAGGGTAGTCCTAGGCCTAGCAAGTTGCCTTTTCCTGTCTTCAGGAAAAGTCACCCAGACTGGGCTGAACTATACACCTCTGAAGATCTCATTTTACACATGCTTAGTAATTACTACACCTCAATTCTGAACAGGTGCCTATACACATGCTCATGGGTGTGGGGGGGAAGGAGGGGCTAATTAGAGTGGTTCCCAGAGAGCCACTCTAATTAAAATGCCACACCTTCATGTGTATTAGGCCCCCATGCATTTAAAAATGGCTGTGGGACTCTCTAACTAAAGCTCATTTGATAAGCTTTAGTTAAAGCACCCTATTGGCCATTTTTAAACCTGCAGGGGGTTATACACATGACACTGCAGTGATGCTAGGCACCCACTGGGCACGTCTACATGTGCATTAATGCGCCTTTTCTAATGTGCACTAAATTTAGCACCTCCAATGTGAAGTACTAAATTAATGCCCATTAGGCTGCCTTAATGTGCAGTAGCACATATGCATGGTTTTAAGTGACACTTAATGTGCAGTAGACTATTTTACTATGTATTAGCATAATGTATAGCTATGCATATGCTATATATCTGTATAGATAGAATGTATAGCTATGCATAAAAAATTAGCATAGGTCTTTTACTTTATGCTGTAATGCACAATGAAGTGGTCTACTGTTCATTAAAGCACACATGTAAACACGCCCACTAAGACCCGTTTCTTTAATATTGTTTGTAGCTGATTTACAACTGTGCATTTTGTGAAGAGAACAAGATTCTGATTATTCTGAATAACAGATGTTCTGTGGAAATCAACCATGATTCTTGTGATGCCAAAATATTAAATTATTTTATACTTAAAAAAAAAAAGTTGCTGTAGTACTTAGCCTTTTCTGTTGTGGCACCAGTCATCAAGTACATCACAGGGTGTTATTTGATCAGTGGACAAATACTACAGTTCCTGCAGTCCCCTAAGAAAGTATGAAAAGCCCTGCGGTATTCATTTGATGGAAGGTGCTGTATAAATGTAAGATCATTAACTACATAACTGTCTGCTAGTTCTAATTACTAGTACAAAGATACAGCAAAATTCACAAAGTGGCTAGGTCTAATCTGCAATTGAAAAGAAGAAAAAAGTCCCAGAAGTTCAGGGCTACCTTTTGGTTGTGTGGTTTATACCAGCCAGGAGGATATCTTGCAATGCTGATCATGTATTTCTCAGCTCGTTGCCAATCTTCATGCCACCTCTGAACTTGATACTGAGGCTCAGACTTCGTAATCCTATCCAGAATGGCACGGTTTTCCTTGCTCACTCTCAGCAGTTCCTTCTCTCGTTTTTCCCTGTTTAAACTAGAAGACACACAAACAAGATCAATCCCAGTCACAGATATACTTAAAGAATGTGTAGGTCAAAGCTGGAACCTCAGTGTGTGAATCCACTGTAAATCTTCTGTCTGGAAATCACAAAAACTTTTATGCTTCTTCTAGGAGGATTCTCTTCTTCTTGCTTTATACCATTGGTGTCCAACCTTTTGGCTTTGAGGGACAGATGAGTGGTGCAGGGTTGGTCCACAGGCCGGATATGGTTTGTGGGTCTGATCTGACACACTGAGCCAGGCTGGTGCATGGCCCCAACCCCAGATGCTGGATCACACTCACAGCCCAGGCCCCATGCACTAGGTCAGCCCCCCATCCTTCACTGGATCATGACCATTGCCCTGTCCCTACATCATACCCACTGTGCCCATGATCCCAGCCCTGCACATAAGGTCATGTCATCTGGCCTACAGGGCTTGGACATTTGGCAGTGGAGGAGACAAATTGTTAATTATCACCATTCCCCCACCACTAAATTTCCAGACCCATGGGAAATGCTGCAGGCTGGATGGCCCACAAGATAGAGTTTGAACACCCTGTTTGTATACTAACCAACCTTTAGAAATCTGCCCTCTGTTTGTCTGAAAGAGAGGAGTTTCATTTAATGAAACATTGCTCCCTGCCTTCAAAAATAGTGTCTCTTCAGGAATGCTATAAAGATTCTTATGTAATAAAGGGCTTAGTCCATCTGTCTGTCCATAATACTCTTGGAGCACTCTGATTGGTTAGTGAAACAGCCAGAGTGCAGAGCACCACCATGATAGCAGGGATAGAGGGGATGGTGCGGTGAGGCGAGGCCGGTAGTGCTGGCCTCACTTGTCTCGCTTCCCCCCACTCCATCCCTGCTATCATGGAGGTGCACCATTGCCTCTGAGGAGCAGGCCAGTAGCATTGGAGGTGGCGGCGGTGCAGAATGCTGGTGGAGGGGGATGGTGGGGCAAGCTTCCCCCCCACCCCACTTCTGGAAGGTGGCTGTAGCATGGGGTGACAGGTGGCAGTGCTGTCCCTGCCCCCCCCCCCGCCCCATCATTCTTGACGGGCAATTTGCTAGTCCATTATAAAGATCCTTCTTACAAGAGGGAAAAACTCAACCTTTACCTTAAATTAAAAATGGTTATTTTCAGCCCCTGAATCATTTTTGTTGTTATACTGAGGGAGAGGATATGACTTAGTATATCAAGAGTCAGCCATCCTAGCCTGGCTTTTGTCCTTGTATCATTAGTTCTTGAAGGAAAATGTCCCATCAAAATTTCAGATGCAAACCAAATGAATTGGGTTGTGAGGAAGGTGAAGAGTTGTAAGGCAAGTATCTTGCCTAATGCTATCCACAAACATTTTATGAGTGCTCAGAGTTAATTAACAGATGGTGATTGATTCCAAAGAAGCTACAATAATCTACGTGGTGGGAACATGTATTGCTGCTGCAACCTAAAGTCAATGCAGTAGTTTACATATGTGTAATATAATGCTGATGAAGGTATATCCAACTATTAGCTAAAGCATGTTCAGATTATATCTCCCTTCCCATGGGAGCACAATGATGCCTTGATACTCCTGGTTATATAATGGCCTGCTGTTCTGGACGTCACCTGGATTACTTGAAGCTAAGCTGCAGCCTTCTGTGTAGACTCTACAGTGCAGAGACACCCTGGGACCTGATCTGAGCTATCATTCTCTTATCACCCAGTCTGTCTGTACATGAGTCATAAGGAGTAGCAGACAACATTTGAAATTCACAAGACATCCACCACTGTAGGTTTTGGGTTCCTTCATCCATTCCTACATTCTCTTTTGTGCTGTTGAAGATAGCAGAGCATGCTGTATTAGAATTAGGAATGATCTATTAGAATTAAGAATTTCCCCCTTGATTTAGGATGCTATAAATGGTATTCCCACCAGAAGAGTCTCACACATTTCCCTTGAGCTATGGCTTAAATCCTTGTTTGTATTTATTTTTTGAGTCTTCTTATTCAATGTGGCTGCTCCACAGTGTTCTTATTTTACTTTACTTTGTTGGGTGTTTTATTCCCTCTTGAAGCTTTGGACCCACATGTTTCCAGTGATGTCTGTAGAAAGGACTGAAAAAGCAAAAGTCTGTGACTCACTTAGCAATAACAGTTTACCTGGGATATAATTGGTTTATTTCGCCTAAACTGGGGCAACATTTTCCCAGTCTCTCACTTTACCTTGGCTAGTAAACTAAAGCATTAACCTAAAGCTGGCTCCTCCTTTTCCAGGCAGAGTTGGAGAAGGATGACTTTGAATCTGGAGTCCCCCATCTTGGCCAGAAGAATGAGTATCTGACATGCAGACACCTTAGCGCCCCTGGGTACTGCTCTCCTGAATCTTTTTAAAAACATGTCCTTGCTGAGCAGATTGTCTATGTTTATGGCTGGCAGAGTAACTCGATAACCTCGTACAAATGTCAAGGTGGATGTTACCTTTTGGTCTCATAGTCATTTTTGTTATCAATTCGTCCCTTCGTCCTCATGATGCAGGACATCTTTTCCAGCAGCAAACGGTTGTCTCGTTCGATGAGTGAAAGTCGCTCCTCCTCAAGCTTTATGTACAGAAGAGGCAGAGAAACATTTGGTTTTTCTTATGGCCTTGTGTAAGCAGCAGTGATGCACTATGCATATCTACCAAGGAGCTGCTGCAACTCCTGTTGCTTTGCCCTAAAGACGGTCACATACTCCAGGTAGAGTAAGGATTCACCTTGGTGCACAGGTGCTGAAGAAGATCCTGCAAAATTATTAATTTAGGGCTTCGGCAGTAAATAGGGCTTTAAGTGGGACTCTTTGGAAAGGGGCAAATTTCACCCTGAAACAGAAACTCTTTCTTATAACCAGGAGAGTTACGCAGGTTGCACCACTTGGCAAATGCATTAATAGGTGTACAACAAAAATCTTTATGTTCAGTCAATAGGAGGTTGGGGTTTTTTTTCAGGAACTTTATTACTAGTTAGTTCTGGTGGGCATCATAGGCTCCAGTCAAAATCCAGGACTCCATTGTGCTGGACACTGTACAAACAGTGGAGACTGAGCTAAAATCCAATGAGAGCCTTTCCGTTGGATCCAGAGAACTACAGTAACAGGCCTTCCCTACCCTGGAGATTTTAGATGAGAAGCAACAACGGGATGTGATGAAAAAATGGAAGGAGCTGCAGAGGGAGCAAATGGGATAGGCATGTGTGGCTGCATAAACTAGTTACTTACATTCTCAGTTAGCTAGTTTAGGGTAATTTTTCAGATCACTTTTAAGTTATAACTGTAGAATATTAATACACATAACCTCAGTTTAACACAGACTAACTTGTGGAATGTGAAGGTGATGAGAGCAGGTTATGAACCTAAAGAAGAGAATAGGCTGGAAGATGAAGATCTTATAGGAAATTGCCAGAGCTAGCCAGATTTGGGAGGAATATTATTTGAGCATCTGCCATTTGGGGAAATTTAATCTAAAAGAACCAAAAGAACCAAAAAATGTGCTCTGCAGAAGTATATGTCCATGGCCCAATGATGCTACCTCTAGCAGGGGTGAATTAAAAATAGTCAGAGGTGGAGTGGCAGGGAAATCCATCATTCTCTCAGAGCTTAATTCTTATACAATACCATCAGGAGCCCCCGCTGAAGCATCAATGAAGAACATATTCTGTACAGGCCTGTTCATTTTGTGCCTTTTTGTTTTGTTACTAGATCCTAGCACTTCAGCATGCCCTATATGAAAGATTGCCTCCTGTTGCTCTGATAATCTTCAATGGCTAATGCTATAAGTGACTGCAGGGGCACTTCATTTGTCTTTTGTGTTTGCCTGGCTTTGTAACAGGGTAAATGTAGATTATATTGCATTATAGATGTACCTAAAAATGGTGCTGTTAAGTAATCTCATTGAGCTCTAGAAGCCCGGAGGAGCAGTGACTACAAAGGAACCTGATGAAGGGAAGATAAGCTTCACTGAAATGTTAGAGACCTTCTCACTATGGGTGCTTGTACATGTGATGAAAAGTGGCCATTTTTGTGGTTTAATTTCATCATGCTGTACGTGTGCAGATTTAAATTAGTTTGTTACATTGCAAACATTGTAATTTAGTTTTCAACTTAGCTGTTTGTAATGTTGCAGCCTTTTGACAGCTCACCCTTCCCCACTGAGGGGGGCCCAGTCCTTCCCTCCACAGTGGCAGCACCCCCTGGGGTCGCGTGGGCAGGGTGCTAGCTGCATGGGTGCTGCCCCATCTTGCAGGAAGCACCTGCCAGATCCAACCATTCCCCAAGCCTGCCCAGGGAACAGCGCCTGGCAGGCTTCCAGCACACTGGCTTAGGGAAGAATTGGATCCAGTGGTTGCTGCCTGCGAGCTGCAGCAGCACCTCCACAGCTAGTAGCTCATCCAGGTGGTACCACCATTGTGGAGAGAAGGACTGGGCCCCACTGCAGCTCAGGGGCTACACAACCTGAAAGCAGCTTGCTCAGGCAGGTTTCACAAGGGGAAAAAAGTAGCGGTGAAGGGCCTGATCCTACCCTCCCCACCCCCCCATGGAGCCTGCCCACCTCTTCTGCAGCTGGGGGCAAGCTGCCAGCAGGCCCTGAGCTGCAGGGGGCCCTGGTCTTTCCCTCCATGAGCAACTGGTGCCTCCTGAATCTGGGGGGGACCCACAGAAGCTGCCAATGGCGGCGGCCCTGTCGGGGGGGCACCAGCCCTGCTGAGAGCATCAGTGTTGGCCGTGCATGTACACCCCTGTGCACCCCTTACCAGTTGCCTATGCTTCCCTCTGAGGCAGCAGCATCCCTCAGGGCCACCCAGGTAGGCGCTGATCCAACTGTTCCCCGACCCCAAGCTGGGGCAGCACCCACCTGCTAGCAGCCCACCCAGGTGGCCCAGGAGGGTACTTCCAATACAGAAGGAAGGACCAGGGCCCCCCACAGCTTAGGGGCCACCAGCAGCATGCTCCTCAGCCATGGGAAACACAGACAGGCTCCACAAAAAAAAAGAAAAAGATTGGGCCCCTTGCCATAACAGTGACAGAAAACCCTAAATTGAAACGGCGGGTTTTTAACAATTAAAAACCCACTGTTTCAATTTAGGGAACTAAATCCCCATCATGTGTACAAGTGCCCTATGTTTACATAACACCTCTCGAAGAACTGGTAATGCAGATCAATAGGAAACATAGTGCGACCCTAAAGGATACTCCTAGAAGTTGGGCTCAGGTAAGAGGGGTGTTATTGTTTTGTTTTTTACCTGTGTGGGTTCTTTCCCCCTATTTATTTCCCTTCAAAGGCATATGCTTTTGTACTTTTACAGTAAAGGAAAAATCCTAGACAGCAATCAGCACTAATATCAAGTCTATAATAGCATAAAAGCCTGTGTGCATCATGGAGAAAGTCATTGTTTTGATAGTGACACAATCTCAAGCTCTTTGGATAGTGTTGAAATGTATGAGGTATTGCAAGATTTTTCAGAGGCTAAATCTTGAAACTTTCACCTGGAGGATAATCTCATTGCCTAAGAGAGATTGTATAAAAAGTTTGACAAAAATGACCAATTATTTTTTTCCCCACTTTTTTTTTTTTTAATTAAAAAATGTCTTTAGGGAAAGATAAAATATTTTGACACATTGTTATATATGAGAATGGCTACATGTTGTGGTGTTTGTTTAATTTCACTGTGCGTGTGTCTTTGTGGTTGTGGGTTTTCACAATGACTGAAATTGTGTATGTGGGTATGTGGGGAGAGTCCCTCTGTGCAACCCCTAAGACAGAATCTGTGGGCTCTGGACTTGGCAATTGGAAGGAATGTGTGGCATCAGTCAGAAAATGAGAGCTTATTTGATGTGAGCTTGGGAAGGCAGTATCCAGGGGGCCAGCTCTGCAGAGCACAGAAATCTTGCTTTGAAGGGACAAGGAATGGGACTAAACCTTTGACCATTTGCTCTCTCATCTGTGTTGCTATGCCCAGCTTTCTTTGGATTGGTGGGAGAGAGACACTATGACATAGTTTTATGTGTTCCAGTTTAATTAAGTGATGATAACCAACAGGATACCTTCAGCTTCTTCAGCTTCAAGTGCAGATGGCCATATGCGGGAGGAGAAGAAGTGTCCACTCTCGCTTTGGCTGTCTGAATCTGCAGTAGGAAAGACATTGTTATTCATTTTTTGTTGAAAGTAAAATTCTCACCAGTTCTCATGGGCATCATTTACATTTAGTCCTTTATATTGTCAGCAGTATTGTTATTTGGGACATTATCCTTTTTATCAGCAACACTGAGCCTGTGTAAGCAGAGCGAGTGGAAAGAGAGCATATTACGGACATTTGTATCAGAGGTGGAGAGCCAATCTTTCTTTCTCTCAGAGAAGCCAAAAACAAAACAAAACTTGAGGCCAGATGAATCATAATGTTGGGGTGAGAGCACAGGAAGGCAATGGGAAGGCAGCTTGCACCTCTACTTGGCAGGGGCTGTTGGGTCTTGTTGAGCTCACTGTACAGGCTCCTGAGCTTGCATCCTTGAAGCAGTAGATACCCAGGGCTGTTACAAGGGAACAGAACTGCTGGAACCCAAGAAAACCCTAACTACATCCCTACCTGTCTGCATTAGTATCTCCTAGGGGAGTCAATTTACATTTAAGGAGAGCTCTGCAATGCTTTGCCACGCGATTCTTTTGCTGCAAGTAACCCCCAGTGCTGCTCTCCAGCAGCGAGGCCTTATAATACCAGTCTCTGATGCTAAACTGCTGGTACAATCACTGGTGGAGCTTGGTTTGCACCAAATTCAGAGGCAAAGTAAGTATCTTCTTTCTTCTGACACTTTGCAGGAATATTGAGATTAGGGCTGACAGGAAGAGATCACTGACAGTGATTCCCCGTGCACAGTAGTTCATGTGAATCCTCTTGGATCAGAGAGACCCAGGGGGTGGGCAGTGAAAAGTCGGGGGGGGGGCAGAATGTGATACATTTTTCTTCTGTATCACATATAAATCATGTTTCAACTGTGCCCTTCCTGGCTGACTCAGCCTCTTAGAAGTTGCTCACCCCTGTGCTATATAAAGAAAAGTAAAATATTTACACAGGAAGAAAAACGGGCTGTCAAGTCGATGCAAATTTTATAGCGACAGGGCAAAACAGCTGCGTTGCAAATAGAAGGTTCAAAGCTTCACTTGCAGCCTACATACAGCCCTCCAAAGCTCCTGAGGTAGCCTGGCACAGTGAAGAGCCTTGTTGTGTGGCAGGGACCAACCCTGATTCTCTGATACCTGGACGACTGAGAAATCTTCCAAGTCTGGCCCTTGGCTTCAAAACATGTTGCTAATTGGGGTGGTGTTTGGAGCTGCAGTACTAGAGCTAGAATTACACTGTTGACTTGCTCCTGTTAGAGTTTTTAAATACAGAGCTTGATTTGGTGAGGTACTGAATTCTCGTTGATTTCAAGAGGAGTTGAGGGTGACATCAGTATCACAAGATTGGGCCTTAATGAATGGAAACAGTCTACTAAATAGCAGAGCTGCACTTGCAGCATCCCCCAAGATTTGACTATTCTTGTCTGTCATCGCTGTTCTGTCCTCAGCTGTGTCCTGCTGTTCTTCATGATCCAAGTAGTTATCAAATGCAAGTGACTTTTGAATTAAAGCAAATGGTTTTACTGCCAGTCCTTGGCTGTATTGATAAGAAGCAATTTGGTTGTCTGCATGCCAGCCTCCCTCTACATGTTACATTTATGCTTTAATGAATGTGTTATGCTATACTTGCTGCATAAATGGCATAAAAATGTGGAACATTTTTATGGCTGGTCTGTATAGTTTGTTAAAATGAACATGTAGCAGCTCTGGCTGTCACCTTTCCAGTGCAGGGGGAGCCCAAGGTCATGATAATGATCCTGGAGTGCCCCTGCACTGGCAAGTAGAAAGGGTGCAATTGGGATGTGATCCCTGATCCCAGAATCATGCCTCCTGCCATGAATGTGTGGTATGGCAGGAGGCTTGATGGTTGGGATCAGAGCCCATGGTGCCTTTAAATGAACATGTGCCTGGGGCTTCAGTGTGCACAAAATAATTGTCATAATCATCAGTTTTTATAGACAGGACAAGGAATGAATAAGCCTGATGACCAAATTGCTGAGGGGAGCAGCCAGTCTAAGTACAAAGGGTCCAGAACCAAGTGCCACAAGCTGTCAGTTCTGTTCTTGCTTCCACCACTGACAATATGATTTGGGAAAGATACTATTTATATTCCCTAGTTTCTCCATGTGTAAAGGGGACAATGGCACTTACTTGCTCATTTAAAGTACTTGTCTAGCATCTTGCCATGAAGAATTTCAAGCTTAAAGTACTACTAGCCTTTCCCTTCTCATCCCACAAGATGATCTTTGTAAATCTCACAAAAGAGGCTATGCAGAAGCAGTGTGGACTGCTCTTGCATTTTTCTAGAAGATTTTATTTTCTTGTGCTGTCAGGCCAGCATTTTTCATGATCATTAAATTTACAACAAGTTTAAAGCAACCTTGCACTATAAAACACTCATGTGTTTATAGCCCACTAGAAAAATCAGTTGTTGCTATACCTGTTAGTTTAGGAGTTTTGGCTTCAACTGAATAGAATAACGAACCACAAATTGTGGTTTTAGCTTATTAATGTGAAAGCTGTTGTCAAAACATAAAGCACCCATTGTTTAATTTAGAAATGGGGTATTGGTACTGCCATCTCTTCCCTGTGGATTGTATCAATATAATTAGTTGTCCCAGGTCACAAGGTACATAATGGTGCTCATATCCTTGGGAGTTGGAAGTTTTAAAGAGACCTATTTATCTCCTTACTCTTCATCTCTCTGTTGGGAAAGTAGTAACTACTCATGAGTTGCGTTTTTTCATAATACAAAGGAAGGTGGTGGTGGAGGTAAAAATATCTCTTGAGCTTATCAGTTGCCAAAAGTCATTTTATACCTCTCTCAAACTGAGTAAGTAAGAAAGTAAAATCTAAATTTTCCAACCCCTTCCTGGTCTGTGTGGTAGCTCATTGTTATGACTCTGTGTGTACATGCTACTATACTATTCTAGCTCCAACAAAATGTTTAGTTCAGTGCAGACTGTTGCAGAGGAGAGATGCACCAAATGTATAGTCTCATGCAACCTTACTTTAATATGTTCTTATTTGGTTGTTCTTTTAATCTAGGGGTGAGTAGGGACAAGCAGAGCCTCAGAGGGTTCAGGGCACGGCACAGCCTAGCAGCTGCCATCAGCCACTCCTGGGGCCACTGTAGCAGGGGCTGGGGTGAGTGGGGACAAGCTGTGTTGTGTCCCACAATGCCTGGGGCTCCGCTTGTTCCCACTTACTCCAGCCCCTGCTACAGCAGCCCCAGGAACAGCCAATGCCAGCTGCTGAGGGAATTGTAAGTCAGTGGGTGCGGGGCATGGAGGCACGGCTCTTGGTGCTACGTGCGTCCCAAGAGGTCTGTTCCTGGGGGGTGCATGCCCCCGGATCTGCATGCCGGACGAGAGCAGGCTGCCACCCACCCCAGACACTGGGAAGAACCCGGTGCTGCCGCCAGCCCTGCCTGCAGCGGCAGCCTGCTCTTGTCCTGTGTGCAGATCCAGGGGCATGCGTCCCCTGGGAAGAGCCCGGCACAGTCCCCCAGCCCACAGCCCTCCTGGGTTGCGTGTAGCAGCAAACACCATGCCCCCCCTACCCCACACCCACTGACAGTTCCCTCCACATATGACAGCTCCCTGCTGCAGCCCCGGGAGCTGCACACCTCCTTCCACCCCTTCCCTAGTCCCAGCCTTACTCCTCCCCTTCCTCACTTCCACGGGAATGTATTATTATTTTCCCCAATTTAAACCATTTTTTTCCTTTCTTCCTTTTATCTTGATTTCAACCTGGCTTTTATGTTTGGAAAATAAACCCTGAAAAATTCCCGGATTTTTTTTTTAAATAAAAAATGAAAATGCAGAACACTAAGAATTAGGAAATAGCAGCCAGCTCCCTGGTAGGCCCCAGCACCCCCTCAGAGTGTAAGCACAGCGGCTGTGCCACAGACTGGCTACAAATCACTTGAACACTTCTTATTTTAGTTCTCTCATCCATTACATGAGGATAATGATACTTAATATGTTAAGTGAGATGGTGAGACCTAATTCCTTAATGTCTCTATAATGTTTTGAGGTCTTTGGATGTAAAGTGGTGTAGTGGCTCAAGTTTTAGCTATCAGAGGGCACATGTACATGAGACGCTAACTGCGCAGTAGCCAAATAATACTACCTAGTAGCGCGTCACAGCACAAACAGTGCTAATACACTACTGCACAGTATTATTAGGCTACTGTGCAGTAGCATCACTAAAAATGTGTTTGCCAGGGCTACTGCACTGTAGTTACTATGCATTTATTTAGTACTTGATTATACACAGTAACTACATTATACAACTATTAAATAAATGCACAGTATTGTCATTTGGGACATTATTATCCTTTTTATCAGCAACACTGAGCCTATGTAGTCAGAGGTAGTGGAAAGAGAGCATACTAAGAACACAGTAGTTATTGTGCATTTATTTACTACTTGTATAATCACAAGTGCAGTAACCACTGTACAGTAGTGTCTCATGTAGATGTGCCCAGAGACTAATGAATTTGTGGCCAGTACTCAACTGATATGAATTTGAAATTAAATTCCTAATCCATTGAACCATCCACTTCCAGACATTATGTTTCCATTAAATGTCTTCTGAGCTGAGATGTTATCACACAAGTTTAATTCTAAAGCAGCTTTTTTATAGCTAAATTATAAGTCTTTGCATATGGAGGTTAACACTACAGATACATTTCTAGCCTACACAGCATCCAAATATCAAATTAGTTCTTAGGCTTAACCTTTGAATGCCATGGGCTAGATAGGAAGTGCGCTATACTCTTTATTGTAGAGCCTCAATGGATGTTGACTGTGTCACCCACTTCTGGATCAGTCTCCTGATATAAAAATTAATAGCATTAGTCAGACATAACAACAGAGCTCTCAACCTCTCACAAGAGATTAATTTTCACTAACGAAAAAAGGGGATCTTGTATTCTGGTTAGAGATAGGCTGCTGCCTGTAATTTTATTTTTCGTGTTTAAATTCACTCCTCCTGTGTTAGGTGAGGAGGAAAGTAACAGAAAAAAATAGTTTGTGTATGGTAAATGAAACAGAGCATGTCTGTAAATAATTAAGAAATATTTCCTCACAAGAAAGTCTGCAATACTTAGATGTCAACTTCCTAAGGTAGCAGCATAGTAGAAGCACTGGAGTTATTTAGGCTTGCATTAAATAAAGTACTGAGGAATTTTCTGATGGGAACAATCCTGCTTTTTCATTGTGATAGACTGAGTGGCTGAAAAGATCTTTTCCATCTCTAAATTTTATGGACGTCAGACTTCAAACTGGTGGTAAAAGATAACAATCTCCAGGTGCATACCATTCTTTTGAAGTCTCATTTGTCTGATAGTTTACTGCCTGTCGTTAACATATACATTCCTACTAATGTTAATGCAAAAATTCTTATGCATTATTTAACAGATTTGGTAAAGCCTGTTCTCTCACTGAAGGCTTCCATACTCTATCACAGAATTGTACCTACCCTCTTCTTGTGGTCTTCATAGTTTGCTCTGTCCCATTTTTGCTGAAGATATTTGTTGCCACATGGTAAAATTGGCTGGTAGGCACGGTGCATCTTAAACACCATAAAACATCTCTGAATCTGTGGCTCATAAAAAGAATGACTAATATCAGTCTGAGCCTTCTTAAGCAAAGCCCTGGAGACTGGTATGTTTGTAGCAGGTCATGTGGTGGTTGTCATGGCATCACTACCAAGAAAAAAAACTGAATAGCTAGTGGGAGTGTTTTAAACAATCTGTTTAGAATAGCAAAGGAGCTGAACATCTTAGCAAAAGATTCTGAGGGTATTGTCTCCATTTATTACAGAGCTTCATCATTATAATTCACTGGCCATTCTTGACTTCCCACTGATTGGGGAAGACAGTGGATCGATAGGCAATTACTAACGCTTGATATAGCATCATAGATAGATATGGATCTGTACAATGGATAACACTTGCCAAGTTTTAAAGTCCTGTCTCAATGCAGTACAAAGGAAACTCACAATCTGGGATGTAGTCTTTAGAGCTGCCATAACTTGTTTGAAATATTTCTTCACTAGTCAGTATGTGCTTCTCAAAAGACACAGCAAATTTATGTTAATACCAACATACTTCTACTTGCTAATAGTCCAATTACCTCTGTTTATCCAGTCATTGAGGTACAGGGAACTTGCAGAGATTTGTACAAGCCAAGTGATAAAAGAGGTAGCATCCTATGAAAAAGAAGCTTGGCTTTGATTCATTCTTAGCTTTTTATCTTGTGCAGGTCTCCTGAAAAATGTAATTTGATGATTCAAGTTGAAGTATAAGCATCCAAGTTACCATTTTGTAGCAGGGATTTGGGAGGGGTGGCAAATATCCAGAGTCCCTATTTTGTCTTCAAAATTAATCTCTAATTTACAGTATATCACAAAAAAACTACCTTGCTGTCACCCACATCCTCACTCTGCTGCAGTGGACAGAAAATGGTCACATTTACTAAAGAGTTGAGAGAGAAATGTTTTCTCAGGTCCAGAGAAAAATGCTAGGGCTAGTTCTGCATGTTAAAACTGTCAGCCCACGCTGAGGCTGAAACTTCTCTGGTGCTGTTTGCTTAGGGCTCAATTCTGTATGGTGCTTAGCATCCCCAATCCAACACACTCCTTAAGCAAATAATTAACATTAGGCATATGGGTATTCAGCGGAGTCTAATATGTTCTGTGTGTAATTCCTGTCTCATTTAACTTGTCTAACTGGCATATAACATATATATCTATAGATATAGATATCTACAAAATTTTGCTTGGAGCCAGAACAAGAATTTTTAACTGTTGTGGCATCACAATGCATAGATGCATCCTTGCATACTCTGACAAGCAGTTCAAGGATCTAAGGAGTGTTAGGTTAGCCCCCTGGAAATTTCCAGTATTTTTCTTTAAATGTATAAGAAATATATCTGTACATTTAATAAAGCATATAAGGTTAAAAGAAATCCTTTCATTTAGTTATGCTAAGTTCTATGTTTGTGTAATATTTAATGAAAATTAGGAGTAATGTTATAATAGTGCAGGGGGTGCTCAATAGGGTTGCCAGCCCTCCAGGATTGCTCTGGAGTCTCCAGGGACTAGATATAAATCTCCAGGAGACTGCTGAGAGTCATCCAGGAGATAAATGATAGAGTATCCATTAAAATAAATATGAATCCAAACTATACAGTAGTCCAGTGGGTTTTTAACATGTAATAGTAATGTACATTTGCTTTCTTGAGTACAGTGCAGTAGATCAGTCATTAATGTCATTACATCATAAACCTTCCAGAACAGATTCAGAGTTGGCAACCCTAGTGCTCACCCTTTGGCCTGATGGCCAGATCCAACCGCCAATGCCATGTCCTGTAGCCTGCAGGGCTCCCTTCCAGTTTGCGGGGAGCCCCATAGGCTGCGGTCCTGAGTGCTAGATCTGGTGCACATGGTGGTGCAGGGCCTGAGCCTGGCATGCAGGGCCAGGCAGAAGTGGTGCAGGGCCCCAGGGCCCCAGTCCCAGTGCATGGAGCCTAGTGGGGTTAGTGTAAGCCCTAGAACCAACCTCCACACATGGGGCTGAGCAGAGGTGGTGCAGCACCCTGAAGCCTGGATCCCACACTGTAGAGCCTGGCAGAGGCAGTTCAGGGTTGCAAGCCCCGATCCTGGCATTTGGGGCCAGGCAGAGGCAGCTCAGGGTCCTAGGCCCCGTTCCCAGCATATGTTCTGGGTGGGGGTAGTGCAGGGTCGCGAGGCATGCAGAAGCAATCTTGGCATGCAGGGCTGAGCAGGGTCCAGATCCATATGCATGGTCCAGATCCAGATGTATGGGGAGTGGAGTCCAATCCAGCTCACAGACGAGCCCCGTGCCACTCATTTGGCTCACTGCAATAGAGTGTTGTTGTCAAAAAAGCAAAAATATTTAGAGGTACACTGATACATTGGTCTGATATCAGATTGGCACCTATATAAAGAAAATTGACTATATCAGAAATTGGCCTGATGTGGCTGATAATTTGGCTGATAAATGCCTGTGCCTCCATGCAGCTGCAGTGCAGCACATAGGTGGTGAGGAGCAGAGCCCAGCAGCTTGGAGAGCTGCATGCAGCTGATAAGTCTGTTGTGGTAGATGGGGAAAGGGAAGGGATGGGGTGTGGGGAGGAAGGAGTGGGGCGGGGGCAGGTGCTGCCCAGCAGGGGTGGGGCGGGCATGTGACAGAGCTGCCGCTCGTCTGGGAGATGCAGGGCTGGGGGCGGCTCCCGCTGCTGCGTGCATATGGGGAGGGCACATGGTGTGCCCCTGGATCTGCATGGGGTGGGGTGGTGCAGGCTTCAGCTGTGGGTTGGGGCCAGGGGCTGAGCTTCAGCTGTGGGCTGAGCTGTGTTGAGCTTGGGGCAGGCAGTGGCGGTGCTTGAAGGGGGCTAGGGAGGGGATTGCAGCCACCCCAAATTTTACCATAGCACCCCCGTAGTCCTGCTCCCAGCACTGCC